CCCCAAAACCCCAAACCCCAAAACCCCAAAACCCCAAAACCCCTATTTTATCAAAATGTGTTGAACTGGGCAATCTTTACAAAGTAGATTTTGGCCGAGTCTTAATCGATTTTAAGGTACTCTTCTTCGCTTCGGTGAAACTCTGCTTCCCATATGCACGGTAGAGATTCTTCATCCTATTCTGAGGTAAGTTCTCTTTTGGCACAGAAGGTTTAGATGCCTCCTGAGACGCAATACGATTAAGATTGGAGTTTTTCACATCGTTAGATAATCCTGGAATGGCCTTTTTCCTGTCTGAAAGATTTTGTTGACCATCTTTTGAACAAGATGCTTCTTTCTCATAATGAGCTTCTAAATCTCCTGTGTTGTCAAGGGTGGAGTCATTGACTTCATACCTAGTATTTGACCTATTTTGAGTAGCGATTTGAATAGAATCTTTGTTAATCTCTGCTTGCATTTCTTCTTCCACTCCTTCTGCTTTCTTCCCAGTCACTTTGAACTGCCCAGGCTTAAGGTTACTCCGAAGTTTGAGGGCTGACTTGCCAGACAAAGGTTCTAAAGTTCCTTTCTTTCTGCCTAAAATGTTTAAAAAGACTTCTTACCCGGGTATAAAACCTGTGATTTGGTATTTTTAGACTGTGACTTAACCCTCTTCTTATTTTTAACTCGAATCTGGCCATGATTTTTAGCGAATTGGTGAGTCTCTGGCCTATTTTGGGCAGTCTTTTGCTCCTCATTCATGACTAAGACTGTTTCTTTCTTGATTTCAGTATAATTTGCTGAGAATCTAAAGATTGAATGATGAAAATTACCTAATTTTCTGATTTCGAGCTTTCATTTTTACACTTTGTGCAGACTTCTTCTTATCAGGACTGACTTCACCTTCCTGGACCGTGTATCACTCTCTGGTACAGCCTTTCTTAGTTTTCTTGAAATCAGAGGCGGAGTTGACCCTCTTGTGTCATGTTGATCGTCCAAAGCTTCTTACAAATTCAGGTTCGTACATAAGATGATTCCCAACGTACATGTAGCACGGATCGCTCGAGTCATCTAGAACTGAAGATTTTGAGAATTTAGTCATTCACGGTTTCTGCCTAAGCTTTCTGAAATTATCTGAGTCTTTATAGCTCCCTGGGCCAAGCTTTTTAGAAGTTATTTTTGACCTAATTTTGTAGTCCAGAAACCTCTTCTGCTTGGAAAATGACCCATTTAAATTTATTTTAGAGCTCTTATTTCCTCTCGACACTCTTGACACCAATGTGGAACCCATTGTTGGCAATCTGGGGTGCATAAAACTCGGGAGTCCTCTCATTTGGAGAACGGAACATTAACATAGTCGGTCTCATTGGCTTTTATTTTTGAATTAATTAAAATTATGAAAATTCTATTTTCTTTTTAGAAAATGGGGTTTTGGGGTTTTGGGGTTTTGGGGTTTTGGGGTTTTGGGGTTTTGGGG